CTCGCGATGCTGCGCTTCTTCCTCGCCGCCTTGAGCATCGCCTTCAGGGTCGCCTCGCAGGCGCTGTTCTTTGAGGCCCCACGCAGTTGCTGCTGGGCCGCCTCAACTCCTTCGACGCTTCAGAGATCTCGTGCTGCGCTTCGCTCGTGTACCAGCCTCTCTGCCCTCGTGCGCACCTCGCCAGCGGCGCGGTCTCAGCAGCGGCCGACATCACCGTAGCCGTCAGCTCGGCGGCGGTCTCTCCCGTTGGCTGCCTGAGCGCCGTGGGCGGAGGGCGGCTGGAGGCCCTGTGTTGGAAGGCGTCCCGTACGTGTTTGTCTTTCCTCAACCGCTCGAGGTTGATACGGATCCGGCTGCTTCCGCTGTTCCCCCGCACTCGTCGATTTGGTGCCACACGAGGGGGGAGGCGGACAGTCGTAAGCACGAGGTTGTGGTCAGAGTCTTTGAAGTCGACACGTTTGACGGAGACATTGCGCACGAAACGCCGGTCCGCCTGCCGCATGAGGATGAAGTCGAGGCGGTACTTCTCCTTTCCCTTGTTGGAGCTCTGGAATGTGTGCTGCACTCCACCTTTCGGTGTCCGGAAGTAGGTGTTGGTCAGGGAGAGTTGGTTGTCTGACGCCAGTCCAAGGAGTCGTTCCCCGTTGTGGTTCATAATGTCGCGCCCGTACGCGCCCATAATCTTGGCATCGCAGCACCCGTCTCGCCTCCTATCACTGCCTGCATTGGCGTCCATTAGCACCACGAGATGGTCACGGCTGTGAACCTCCCGGATCGCTGCGTCGAGAGCAGTCCAGAAGGAGTCCATGGCGTTAACATCACTGCCCGCGGTGGTGCGGACAGTTTCCGATGGGGCGTACCCCACCACGAAAGTTACTCCGCAGGTGCGGCCACTTTGTAGACGAACCTTCATCAGCCTCGGGCTAATGCACTCCACCGTCCTACCTTCCTCGCCCACACTCTCCCACATGGCCTCCTTGATCGCTATGCCCACACCGTGTACGCCCCTCTTGTCCTTGGTGCCAGCACGGGCGCCACTCCAGATGATCACGTACCCGTCGTGTGCAATTGAACCTTGCCCCTCTCGTCGGGTCTCCTGAAGTCCTATCACATCACAGCCGGTCGCGGAACAAATCTGCATGACCGTCATCACGTTGTGACCGATGGGGTTCCTACCGCCGTAGGCGAGCGTGCGTACGTTGAACGTGCCGAACGATAGGTCGCCCTCTCGTGCCTTCTTCTTCCCAGCCGCCTTGACGGCCGCTGCGGTCTCGTGTCTCTCTCGGTCCACCTCGCGTTGTGGGTGTGCTTTTTTCCGTCTTTTCCGAGCGGCGAGTTTCCTCGCATGAATCCATCTCTGCAGAGCTCGGTTCTTGCCTGTGGTGTTTTGACGAGGAGGGTGCAGCACTCCCTCCCCGCGGTGCCCGCGGTCGTCTCCCTTCTCCCGCGAGCGGTGCTTACTGACGTGGTGTTTACGAATCTCTCTACTCCGCCAGCTTCGTGGGCGACGCTTTCCGCGACGGTGGTTGCCAGGTGCAGTTTGCCGCTTTGCATTACTGCCGCGGGAACAGTGTCCACATACACCTCTCGCCACTACCACCGTCTGTGCATCCTCACCGCCACGCTGAGCCAGCGCGGCGGTGAGTTGCACCTTGGGACACCACCCGCCTACTATCTGTTGTGTCCTGGTTCGCCCGCGAGGGACTCACTAGGTCGTTTTCGGCCCTGGCCGGGGAGCAGGCCGAGGAGGGGGAAAAGTATGATGTGATGTGTGTCTGTCTGCGCGCCCTAAATACCCAGCAGACTCGAGCCCATTTCACCATCTCGGCACCAAATTGCAAACTAAAACTTGCGCACAACAATTTGATTGGGTCTCTGTGGGTCTATCGGTTGGTTGTTGTTATTGTGTTACGACGCGGCGGGAAGGAGCGGCCTCTGCTCTGGAAAGAGGCACACATGCATCACAGCACGGAACCGGTAACACATCACGCTCGTTCCTTGACGATGTAGTACCATTGCTGTGCTGTGCACCTCTCTACACTCATTGTGGGCGAGAGGGTGTGTCGCCTCTGCTGCTGCTGCTGTTGCTGTTATCTAAAGCGGTGGCGGAAGCGTCCTGTTCAAACAATCAGCAGCAGCAAGAGAGCCGGGGAATTTTTCAACGTTTTTTTTTTTTTTCCTCTCTAGCTGGTGACGATGGATAGCACCCCCCTNAGTAGATGGCAACTAGCGTCTCATATGAGTTTTTTTCTAACTAAATAAATCCTGGTCTAGGATGAAAGCGATGCGTTGCAAAGCTCGTTGTTAGTAAACCATTATCGACTTCGTAAGTCGCGAGGGAAGGGATTGCTGAACCCTTCTCGCGATAAATATACCTCAGGCAGGAACCGAAGGAGGGGGTCCAGCCCCCCCCTCCTATGTGACCACTGTTGGATCGTCTAGCTACAATTGTAGAAGTGGAGGATAGGGGCCAGAGGGGCAGACGATAGAGTCCAACGATGGGAGAAAAAACAAACAAATAGTAGTATATATACAAGGTTCTACGGCGGCTTACGCCGCCACGCGCACTGTGAGCGCTTCCCAAGATGAATGGGAAGTAAGTGTGTGTATACGCTTGTGTGGTTTAGGCAGGATTTAGATGGTGTGTGATGCCAGAAGGAATGTCAGGGGGCAACGCCCGCCGTATTGTTCCTAGTTCGCGGTCATTATTCATGCTAATACCAACGGCTGCAGTAACCATCCATGACTGCCAACACCACATGAAGCCATGCGAACACCCATGAACATGCGCTAGGTCTCCCACTAGTCAAATCCGTTACGACACCTGCGAATACCAATGCCAGCACTCATGAACATGCGCTTGCGTCGCCCAGAAGAATCCGACACACGACACCCACGAATGGCAACTGTCGCTGCAGTAACTAATGCCATAGCCCGCGAACGCGCTACCCACAAGTTTTTCCGACACGACACCTCCATGTAAACCCGACACGACGAATTCGCACTAGAGAGCAAAAGAACCAATACGCCCAATCCTCAACGCTACAGGAAGCGCACGCCCAGTACTGTCTTCGGTACACGAACCGCTACACTCTACGTAATGTGTGGAGCTATCGCGAAAGCCCTTTGGCTTCAATCCAGCCGCCATCAGCGCACTGGTTGGGGTGTCGTGACATGGTCTGTTCATCGTCGTGGTTGTCGTCCTCTTGAAGTTGTCCTTCGTCGCTGTTGGGGACCTGGTCGTTCGTCGCATGTGTGAATCCAATGAAGTCGATATATTGCGGTGGTAGAGGCGGTGAGTCAGTGATGGTGTCAGTTGCAGCGTTAACGAAAGCTGGAAAGGTAATGTTGGCAACAAATGCGGTACGGTTTAGGGAACCACGCAACCTCGCGGGTAATGTGAGGCACATAATCGACGATCGCTTCTGCGCCCTGCTGAGTGCTACGTAGAGTTGCCCATGCGTGAAAACGTCTGACCGCAAGTCAAGCCCGATTTTGGACAGAGTTTGACCTTGACTCTTGTTGATCGTTAGGGCATAGCAAACGGGAAGCGGCAGCTGCAACCTCGAGAAAGCGATCCCGTTCCGCCCAGCTTTTGCATTAAGACGTATACGCGGTATCAGAACTAGAGAGGACAGTCCATCAAGGAGTTCTACATGCACAATCCGTGTTGAGTAACCACGCACTATAGCCTTTTGACCGTTGACCAAACCCTGCTTGAAATTGAGGTTCCGTGTTATCATGACCATGCAGTTTAACTTCAACTCCAATGCATGTGGCGGCACGCCTGAAACGTCGATTGCGTTGAGATCAGCCGTAGCAACGAAGTCAAGGTTATTATCGTGAGGGTCAACTGTGTCACAGCTATATGCCGTTAGCATGTCCCCGGGCAGAATGTCAAGCACGTGGGAGTTGATTAAGTCAATTGTGGCATTTGTCGACGACAAAATTGCTCTCGCCTTGAAGTCGGTAGGGTCGGCGGTGAGAATATATTGGTAAACCAAGTCAATTAGTTCTTCGAATGAGTCCGTGTTGTCGATGACAAACTGATCTTTCGGGCTGTC